CGCTGATCAAGGACACCGATGGGTCAGCCGGAGAACTTGGTGGCCGCGCAGTGACTCGTCACTGCTGCGAAACCATCCTTTCCGCTCTCCGTAAGATATTGACAGGATCGAATTCTCATGTGCAAGCTTTCAGGCTCATGGCTAGACTTGCGAATGGAGAAACGCTACAGAGGTAACGCGAAGATGGGTATTCGAGAGCGGTACGAATGTTGTGCGAGCACAATGAAGAAGGTCCCTGAACGCTGGCGGAGTGCGTCCCCCATGCTTCCGTTCAAACGCATTCACAACCCTACTGTGATAACTACTCCTACTATAAGGAATGGCTCGAAGGGAGGAATGTCCGACTTGTTTCACCTCATTAATTTATTGGGCGAATACTCGATTGGACTGAGCGTCGCGCGGGCCGTCGGCTACGACACCCAACTCTCGACTGACGTCATCAGGGCCTACGGTGACGATCATGCACGTGCACCTGACCACAGACGTCCCTGGTAGATTTCGCCTATGACATTCGACCACAGCTACCATTTTTGATCTCCCGATCAACCTAGATTGCCTAATCCTAACCCTGCTGAGTAGCCTAACCGAATGCCTAATTCCTATGAACGCACCTACTCCTGACCTACCTAGTTGAGTCGAAACGTTCGCTGGAGCTTTTGACGATTGTGACTTGACCGGTTGACTCCACACCGTCGAATGATCCAACTGTCTCTCACACCCCACCAGTCGGCTGTCTCTCTTGAATCTCATTGGTCAAATTCCGTCGATGCCAGCGCCGATTCCAATTGAAATATGTATCCAACTATTTCTTCCGGTCGATCTTCTATCCGTCGTGCACATTCCGTACATCTCCGTTCCGTTCTCGACACATGCCTGCCACATTCTCACCAACCATTTGACCCAATTCGCTCGGTCTCGCTAACTTTTTGTCCTCAACATTACTTAGAATATTTTCCCTGAAAGCGTTTCCTTCTGACTGGCTGCTGCCCAGCCTGCTCTGAGTGATCCTCTTCTCTACCTGGAGATTCCATATTTGCCGTGTTCAAATCTGTAGCTCTTCTCCTAACTGGCCTTGATTTTTCCGAATACCTATCTGTATCTACGTTGATCTGAATTTCCGGTGATGATCCTGATGCTGATTCTGAAGACTCGTCGATCACTTGGTCTTCTGAACCCTCCGGTTCTCCGGACTTCTCCTTCATTCGCGTTGACTCCCGAATTTCCTCTGTATCTGGCGCTGTTTCGAAGCTCGCCATCAAGGGCGATCCGATGCCTTCAGTATTTCCGATGCCTGACTGATCCTGCCTTGGTTCTTCTTCGTTCCCATAGTCATCGTCGAAGGTTTCGTCGAATGGTATCGCATCGTCCTTTTCATCCGTACTTCGGTAATGACCATTGGTCCCCTGAATTTTGGCTGAAGTTTGGTTGGTTCCCCCGTATGCACTGGCAGCCTACTGACTACTACTATATCTCCTTCGGCTAGCCTAACTTAATGAGGTCGTCGTTTCCTATCGTAATAGTAAGCATAGCGATCCTGAGCTTTCTCGATTTGCTCGATAACTGCTTCCTGAACCTCCCTCGCCGGGGTCCAAACCTTCTCCTGAACTTCCTCTACTGCCTGCGAATGATTATCCCATCTCGGAAGTTACCCGTGCAAAACCTCGAATGGTGATTTGCCTGTTGTCTTAGAAGCGACTGAGTTCAGCATCATTTGAGCCGTTGGAACCTGTTTCGCCCAATCATGTCCATCGGATCTCTCGCATAGAGACCTCAATGATCTGACTACCTCCCTATTCAAACGCTTTACCTGTCCCTGACTTTGGGGATGTTGCGTGCTCACGAGCACGTGCTTGACCCCATTCGCAATAAGGAACTCCTCGAACGATTTCGCCGTATGCGCAGTACCTCGATCAGAGACTAATCTAGTCGGCCTACCATACGTCATGAATACCCTCTCTAGAAATTTTATTAAGCCTGCCGCTGTAGTTGCCGGTACTGCCTGAAGTAGGATAAATTTCGTCGACCCATCAACCATCACTATTAGATGTTCGTTTCCTCCCGATTTCGGCAAAGGGCCTACGTGGTCTACAAAGACTTTCTCGAAGGGTCTCCGTTCCGGTCGAATCACATTGCACATCCCTTCTCGACGACTCGACTGCTCTTTGTTGAAGATGCATTCGATACACATCTTCAAATGGTGCGCCACATACTCGCGCATTCTCGGAAACCAATATACGCGCCTAATTAATTCCATGGTTTCATCCATCCCGAAGTGCCCAGCTTTATCGTGTGCCATGACTAAGATATATTTCCGCATCGCGTTCGAAACCACGAATAACCGCCTGCCGTCGATAACCTTGAATAGCACTCCCTTGAGCATCATGAAATCCTGCACCAGATTCAATTCGCCTCTCGATCTCTCTACTCTAGCCTTCTCCAAAATTCCTATCCTCTCCCGAATACTCTCGTCGCTCGACTGTAACATCCGATATTCATTGCCTGACTCCAATTCCTGATGAATAGAGATTGGAACTTCAGGCAAAATGCCATATTTGCCTGAAAATGCCTGAAGTCGAGGTTTTTCGAGCATTATGCCTATTCCTGAAACTCCCGCAACTTTTTGCCTTTTTCAGAGCTTTATCAGACATTTTTGTCGAAAAAGTGCTTCTGAAATAGGATTTCCGCATTCGATGGATAAGTCGCGACCCCGAGTTCACAGCTTAGTGAGCCGGACTGCGAAATGGAAGGGGTGTTCGACCTCCGCGGGCTGATGACTCCCATGGACGTCGATTTCATTGTCCTAGTCGAGAGTCTTCACTGGGGGCATGGGGGCGCTCCTCTTGTTTTCTCATTCCGGATGCCTTTATTCGCCTCTTTTCCCGATGTTCCCACTCGAATTGCCATTTTCCCATGATTTTTAGTGCCTTTTGGCTGCCTTTTTCTCAGTTTTCGGTGCCTTTGTGCCTGCCGTTTTCTCTGTTTTTTTGGTGCCTGAACTTCCAATCTCTACTGATGAACGATCTTCCTAATCGAATCCGTCGGATAGATATCTTCTTCCGTCTCCCCACTGTCCTCTACCGGATCTCGACTGAGCGCATCTACGTGGCTCATAGCCGTGCCTGCTCTATGCCTGACCGTGAAATTGAGCTCCGAAATTCGATTGAGCCAACGACCCAACTGTGGCGTATTCGCTTTTGATCTCAACGCGGCGACTGCGCTACAATCCGACACCACTACGAATTCTTGGCCATACAAGTAATGTCTCCGTCGCTCAAGCCCCCACACGACCGCTAGCTGCTCAAGTTTCGTTGAATGATAGTTTTGTTCTGCCGCCGACAATTTTCGACTGATCGCATAGATCATTTTCCACGCTCCTTTTGATTCCTGCAACAGTATCGCTCCGAGTCCTACCGTACTAGCGTCGGTGTGCAGTTCCGTCGCTCTGCCTGAGACGAACCTGTCCAAGACTGGGCCTGCT